GAATTACGAGTCAAAGAACCATCAAAGAATAAAAAAAAATGTATACCTCAAAAGCATGACCATATTTGCGATATAAAGGCCATCCGATGTGAATATAGAGCTCCTGCACAAGGACATTTGAATTTAGTTCAATAAACAAAAACTGAAAAAAGCAGCACAAGATAGTATCTAATTGTACATGTGACACAAAAAGAAAAACGTGTTAACGCTATTCTGGTCCCAAATTTAGAAGTTGTCATATTAGTCCCTAAACCTAAGAAATTGTCGATAAATCCCTAAAATTCCAAATAAGTCTTTAAATTTAACTACTTACATTTTTTTAGTACTGGACTAATGTGATTGCCAATTTAAACTTTCTGGGACTTATTTTACAATATCGTTTCAAAGACTAATGTGGCAACATCTTCCAAATTCAGTACCAAAGTACGAGTTTACTCAAAAATTTATTGAACCAAGTGCGGAGAAATAAAACGAGCAAACACTCACTTGCTCTATGAATTTGGAAGACACTGTCATGATGGTCTCTAGAGTGTCAAATAAGTCATTAAATTTAGGGGACTTTCATGGACGTATTGTACATTATTTAAATTGAAATGTTTAATTGTGCAGGAACTAAACCGAGGAAACACGTAAGGAGCGTACAGGTATGGGGGACAAAATGAGTAATTAAACCTAGTAACTATTCGTAACGTTCTCCACACAGATGCACGAATTGAAGTGCGAAGCGATGGGGGTTTGGTACGTACCTCCAAATCGATGTTGAGGGTTTCAGCGACGTGGCGCATGATGCTGTGAACTAATTTGCTCTTGTTGTAGCGTTCTTCGCAGGCTTGGATGTCTTCTTCGGAGACCCTACGCTTGCTGAGATCGATGTAACCTTTCTCCTTGTCGACACGGAGGACCATGACGGGCTCGATGCGGCCGACCTTGATGAGGCTGCTGACGCTGCGAATCCGACGGCGGGAGAGCTCGGAGAACAAGATCATGCCCTCGATGTTGTTGTACTCGAGAAGCGAGACGTACGCACCCATGTCCGCGATGTTCTTCACCTGAATCATCACCGCCATGTCCACCTCCGGGTACTTCGCCTCGTACATACGACATTCCAGGTTCGGAGCCATGGCTCTCTCACTCACGCTGATGGCGGTGCCGTGCGGTGCGTTGAGTGAGGGTTTTGGTCTGAGGGACTGAGAGATTGATTTGGCGTTCGAATTGGAAAGGATCACCCAAACGGACTCTACCCACAGATAAAAAGTTTCTACCTTCTTGGGCTTTTTTATAAATTTATGCTAATCTCACTCCCAAAAAGGCTCCAGCTGGCCCAATTGGTTTCTGGCCCGTTCAACAGAGAAATGGACTCCTTCTCTTGTGATCTTCGCACACGCATTTTTTTTTTATAGATATAAATAACTAGATTTGCACGGTTACTTTCATTTTGATGTTTATTTAAAATATATTTGTTTATAAATTTGAATTTATAAGTTTCTACCTACAAGGCTAGTGTCAATAGCTCCTTTCAGGATGATTTTAGCTGAGTTGGTTGAATTGAAGAAATAAGTTGAGAAATTGTTGGAAAAACACAGGGTGAGATCGAGTGTACCACAACGAGATGCTCTTGTGTTATTGGTAAAGAAAAAACATGGAAAAACTCGATTGTATGTTGATTACAAGGAACTAAATAAATAACAATAAAGAACAAATATTTGTTTTCTAAGATATATGACTTGATGGATCAACTTAAAGGATCATCAGTGTTCCCCAATACTGGCTTGAGGTTGGGCTATCACTAGATCAAGTTGAAGGAGAGTGACATACCAAAGACTGCTTTTAGGATTAAGTATAGTCACTATGAATATGTTGTGATGTTATTTGGGGTGACTAATGTCTTGATAGTGATCATGGACTACATAAACAAAATCTTCTAGCCATTCTTGGATAAATTTGTAGTGGTGTTCATAAATGAAATCTTTATTTATTCAAGATCCTTGAAGGAGCAAGGAAAGCACTTGAGGTTGGCGTTAGAGATGTTGAGACAGAATCATTTATATGTGAAATTGTTGAAGTGTCAATTCTGGTTAGAGGAGATAAAGTTTTTGGGTCATGTTATTTCAATAGAGGGGATTGCAATGGATTTGACTAAGGTGGAGTCGGTGCTTTAGTGGAAACACTCGACGACTGTCATGGATATTAAAAGCTTTGTGGATTTAGCAAGTTACTATATGAGGTTCATTGAGAAATTCTCCAAAATAGTGACGTCACTAACTTAATTGAATAGAAGGGATCAACTTTTCATATGGATGGACACTTGTGAGAAAGTTTTGTCAAGTTGAAAAAGAAGTTGACTATTTCTCCTATATTATATGGTGTTAAGTTCAGCGTTTTCAGTGATTACAAGAGTCTAAAGTACTTATTTGATCAAAAGGAACTAAATACGAGACAAAGACGATGGATGGGATTTTCAAAGGATTATGATTTTCAACTAATATACCACCCAGGGAAAGCTAATGTAGTGGCAGATACCCTAAGTGGGAAATTCATCCACATGTCTATCATGATGTTGAAGGAGTTAGAGTTGATGAAGAAGTTCAAAGATATGAATTTATGTGTAGAGTTGGCTCAAGATCACATTAGTTATCAGATGATCACTATAGCTAATGAGTTCTTAAAGCAAGTGAGACTGAAATAGTTATAAGATCTTGAGTTGGTGAAGATTTTTAGTTTGTTGTACAGAGAAGACAATTGGTTTTGAGCTAGGAAGAGATGGAATTTTGAGGTTCAAGGGTAGGATTTCTACCTAAGATTCTAAGATAAGAAAAACAGTTACGGAGGAAGGCCATAAGAGTAAAGTTAACATAAATTTTGGTATGATTAAGATGTACTAAGACCTCAAGAAGGCTTTTTTGGTGATTTGGTATGAAAATGGACACTGCAAAATATGTGGCGACCTATTTGACTTGCCAGAAGGCGAAAGTTGAGCATTAGAAAGTTGGGAGGTTTACTTTAGATGATAGAGATTCCAAAGTGGAACTGGGATAATGTCATTATGAATTTTGTTGTGGGATTGCCTATATCAACTAGGAATAATGATGATATCCGGTGATTGCTGACAAATTGACTAGATGTGTTAATTTCTTGCATGTCAACATCAAGTGGTCTTTGGAGAAGTTGACTCAGTTGCATGTGAGACAAATAGTACGGTTTCACATGGTGCTTTTCTAATATTATTTTTGATTGATATCCAAGGTTTACTTCCATATTTTGGCAAAGTTTAAACCAAGCTCTAGGGACGAGGCTGATGTTGAGTTGTGGATATCACCCTTAAATAGACGATCTATCAGAGAGGACTATCCAGCCTTTGGAATATTTGCTGAGGAATTGTGTGTTAGACCATTTGGAGAGTTGGGGGGAGGTCCTACCATTGGTAGAGTTTACCTATAATAACGGTTTTCATGCTAGCATTGGGATGACACCATTTGAGGCCTTATATGGTAGGAGGTGTAGGACTCCTCTATGTTGGTACAATGATGGTGAGTCACTAATTGTGGGGTTGAAGTTAGTCCTACATATTACAGAGAAGGAGAAGTAGATAAAAGAAAGGATGAAGATTGCCCAGAGTAGGTAGAAATCATATATTGATAGGAAACCTCTAGAGTTTGTTATGGGGGAGCAAGTATTTTTAAGGGTAGCATCCATTATTAGAGTGGGAAGGGCGGTAAGAGCCAAAAAGTTTACGTCAAGATTCATTGGTCCTTATAAGATTTTTTGTCGTGTAGATTTGATGGATTATCAATTGGCCTTGTCACCTTTCCTTTCCAACCTACATAATGTGTTTCATGTCTCCCAGTTGAGGAATTATATCTATGACTCGAGTCATGTTCAGATGGATGAAATTCAAATTAAAGAAACTTGACATATGAGAAGAGATCAGTAACTATGGTTGATCACAAGTTGAAGGAATTAATAGGCAAGTCCATTAGCTTAGTAAAAAATTTATGAGATATAACTACCTGAGAGGTTGAGGAGTATTCGTTTTTATTCACTAGTAAATCTATTTTCAGGGAAAAAATTCTTGTTGGCAAGATATATTGTCACATTATAAGTCATAAAGTATTATAATTATTTGAAGTCATTTTTGTATTGTTAAATTGAGTTGTTATTTAATATTGAGAGACTATGGGATTTGAGAATCATTTGAGTTTCCATTGCATTGAAAATTTTTCTAGATAAAGAGCTAATTTGACCTAAAAAAGGGAAAGTATATAATATTTCTGTTTTGAATAAAACTTTATAAACTCTTTTCATCAACAATTTAGAGAGAGAATGTTAGAGAAGACTTTGATTTGTGAACTTATCTTTTCTCTAAATCTTCTCCTCTTCCTTCTCTGATTCTTATTGTAGTTGTATTGTTAATTCAAGTCAATAGGAATCTCAAATCAAGTTTGTTTATTCATCAAAGGTTGTCTTCTTCCCCTTCTTTCTTTTCTTCTTCTCGATATGGAGATTTTCGAGATAAGGAAAGTTTGAATCATTACACATGATTAATAATGTTTTTGTATAATTGTATTGATAATGAGAGGGACCCAAAATCATATGGAAAACTGTAAACAGTTGTGTTGCTTTGCCTTCAACATGGAAAAACTGAATTTTAGTAAAAATAAAGCCAAACCAAGCGTGCTATAATTTGTAAGAATTGATTTCAATAAAAAATTATGTTGAAACACGAAAAACTGATTCTTGTAATTGTCAAACTGACAAGAAGCCAAGCACCATTTGTGTCTTACGCCTCCGTAAACAAATTAATTGAGGCATACGTTGTCACTTGTGAAGCTGTTTGGTTCAGAAATGTACTGTTAAACGTTACTACACGCGAAACATTGCTGCAAGCAATTCATGCATGAGTAGGCTTATTTGTCTCGTTAAATAGTATCATTTACCCACAACCGCAACAAGAAACATAATAACGGGATCGTTAGAAGTCAGTGAGATTAGCTGGTCCAATATTAAAAAAACAAAAAACAAAACTGTAATTCGAGAGAGCTAATGAGACGATTAGTCAGCGAAATATGATACATCAAGCTACATTATCTATGACAGTAACGCTACTAAAGAAAAAAGAAAAATGACACTTAGAACTCAACTTTCCACCTCCAAATTGTCTGGGTGTTAAAATCTACAGACAAGGAGGCTCAATCACCAAGCTTTAAGATAACAAAGGCATTCCTGCAGTGGCAGCGCAACCCAGGTAAACTTGATTCTCTGCTAGAAGAAGGAATAGGCGCTCATGTCTGAAAATTTGTTTAGAGGTGATACAAAATTTGTTTAGAGGTGATACGACCAAGGGAAAGAATGTAAGATTTGAGGCTCCTTTCCTAGGAAACAAACTAAAATTCATCTTTAGGGTACTTATCACCTTTCCCTCGTGAGGAAAGCCACTGAAATATTTGAAAAATCCTGCTGCCAGAAGGCTTCTGCTCTAGCTTTACATTACAGACCGTATGATAGTCATGCTTCTGATGAGGTGCAACTATTTTTTCCTGTGAAGAAAACTCAGAATTAATAAAAATAAAATATATAAATACAAAAAAAAATTCCGTAATTAATTAAGCATTATGGTCGGATTATACAAGTACCTTGAATACTTCAAATGGACAGAAATCAGAGCCACCACAACCCTGTAAATGATGACACAAAAACTGAGTTATTGATGAATAGCATAATATGATTTTTAAACAATAAGTAGTCAAATCCTACCCCCGTTCATAACCATCAATTCACATATAAACAATTGATAAAATGGTAAAATTTAGAAAACAAAAGTTTACCTGCATTGGTACAGGGTGTTCATTGTGTAACACTTGCACAAAGTGTTTGCTCATAGATTTGTCTGGAGCAGGACAACTATACAAGACCAGCATGTTGTTACCAGCAAAAGGGGCCACAGTGTTACCCCTCCATTTTCTTTTCTGTGGAGGCTTTGGGGGGAGCGGCAAATGCTGCTCCTTCTGAATTTGTTTAAACTCTGCAGAAAGTCAAAAGAGAACACCTATAAGTGCACACTCTCACTACTTACTAAAAGAAAAAAAAAACAAAAATGTAACTTTGCAACCAAGGAGTATAAAATTCTCACCAGATCCTTCGAGAAATAAACCAAGCAGACATGAGAATGGAACTATAGTTTCAGCATGGGCAAACCTAAGCCTTGCCTTTTCCAAACTGCCAGGCGCATGTCTTTCTACAGAAGCAATCAGGAAAGTGGAAATGAGCGAGGTTCACATATTCAAGAGACAAACTTCAAAAGGAGAAACAATCATTTGTAAAGTAAAAATAATTCCCCTTGTTAATTTTGCATTAGATATAGGATACATGTTTGGATAAATTTGTACATAAACACTTTTAAGAGAATAAAATTAAAAAAAAATGAAATAAGTGTCTTCATAAATTGAAATTAGCTTTTAAAAAAAACTAATGAGAACTTATATAAATTAGGTTGTGCATAAGCTAATTTTAGATTTTAGAGAGACTTATTTCATTTATTATTTTCATTTCCTTTTCCTATAACATGCCCATAATTTTCAACCAGCACACATTGAGTGAGCACTGAGCACACACACACATACGTAAATATAACCAGTGTGGGGATAAGAGTTTGACCCAATTTATTAATACACAAGCCATGGAGATAAATTGAAACAGTGAGATACAAATTAAATACTAATTAATGCAAATTACATGGTGAATGTCCACACAAAGACAAGTGTAAAATTAATATGGTGTATTTTCTTATAAAGCTGCAAACATTTTAAAGTTGTTCTAGAATGAGAGACATCTTTTATTTGCACTTGATACTAAAAAATAATGACTTCCTAGCTATATATGTTCCAACAAATTTCTTGGTTCAAAAGATAGTTGTTTGATCAAACTACTAGAAAGCACAGGCAAAATGTCAATAGTCATCAGATGATGCTGAATATGTGTGATTGTGTGCACACAAACAATGCTAGATAGAGCTTGCCATGTGCAGCCCATGTCTGAGGCATTTGTGGACAAGACAACTTCAATATATGATCCAACTGAAAAGGCTAATCTATACATAAATATTACAAGTTTCATTAACAAGATATGGAAATGTAAGAAAAAGATATATAGTACACCCTTAAAATACAAGATTAAACCACCTTCTTTAGCGTTGATAACCTGTTCCATGGATAGAAGAACATCTTCTAGTAACGGCAATCCCATTCTATAATTTAGTGAATTACCATAACCCTTCAGAATAAACATCTCCAAATCATCTGTCCACTCCAGCAATTCAATCTATCCACACATAAATTAGCATCTTAATAAACATGCAGCATACATTAGCATAATAAAATGCAGCCATGAGCTAACATGGATTTTGATCACATGTGGAAAAGTTAAACTATTTTTTTCTGTCCACTCAACAATAGTCAATTAATTGGAATAGCATGAGCATCAACTTATCCAGAGTTATCCCCTTTTGGACTTCTCCTTCTTTGCAGCCAGTTAACAGCAGCACCATTTGAATGGAATTTTAAGCTTTATTAAGGTCAATAACATTGTAGAAGCATCCCATTAAAGACTCATAATGTGCCTTCATATATCATAAGGTCTCAAATTAAATAATTTCATGACATTTATATTTTTTTATTCTATTTAAATATATTTACATACAAATAAAGAGAAAAATGCTAAAACTAGATCACAGATTGCATCAAATCTTGACTACAGAAGTACCTCGGTAGGGCTGAAAATACTACACGCTTGATTAGTTATATCCAACAAGGATGCTTCCTGTCAAAATAACCACCACAAATTGGGCAATAGGAAAGAAAGAAAAGAAAATTATCAATCTCTACAACCTCAGTTAAATTATTATTTATGAACTCCAAGAAGAACACTCAAAACCAAAAGGAGCCGGGAATGAGAAATAAAAAATTGCAATAACCTGTTTACACAAAAACCAGAGAGAAGATGTATCCTGCCTCGTAAAATTCAGCCCATGGCGCCCAATCAATGCAGATGTAATCTCATCCAAAATAGGTTCCTTAAGTTTACTAACTGTAGGTTCCTGCCTTTTCCGAAAATCCTGCTCCCATAACTCCAGAAATTAAATAACCAGACAAAAAATGCATAGAAAGCAAAGCACAAACACTACCATTAAGAACACTGAAGATCACAAATTGTCCAGTTAACCATAAATTCATGCTCAAACATTTAGAAATAAGTAATTATGTATGCTGCATATCAATTACCTCAGATAGCCTCATGAAAGTTGAAAACACACTACTTTCACATGCAACCAATGATGACCTTTACATGAGGCAAAAATGGAAATTTCAATTCATTTAAAATATGTTATGTTCCATTATAATGGCATGGCAAGACACAGAAACATGATCATCAATAACTAAATGGTAAAATAAGGGTGAAACATACAGCTTTGTGATTTTATATAATGCATAACAGGCATATTTGCAAATATACATTAAATCTTACGAAATTGGCTAAGTATAGTTTCTATGATTACATGAAATTGTGTCAGACACACTTGCAAGTGTTGCATTAAAAGTCCTCAAAAAATCAATGATGACAATAACATACCTTGTAATTATGACAACAGTCATGAAATCTCAGCTGGATGTCACTAGCACGGCTTTCACTTGTGACAGAAAAGGCTCGGTGATACCCAGGTCCAAGACTTCCATTTCCACTGAAAAGCCCCATTCCGAATGCCACAGCACTAGCAGATGCTCGGGGAACCTATTTTCAACATAGAGAGATGTGTGAGGTTAAATATATTTGTAGACTCCAAATGTGAAAAAGCAAAACCCATTTCTTATATCGCAGTTAGTGCCACTACAACTAATCTGCATCACGTCTTAGCATTCACTTGACAACTCAAAACACCATACTTTTTTATCTTTGGCTCAACCACTGTTTCCTGACTAACCCCAAAACTATTAATGGTGTAAATTGAGGCAACATAAAAATTACAACACCAAAATCTACCTAGACAAAGAAAAAAAAAATTGAAGATCAATTCACCTGAGATGCCTTGATAGGATATACGTCTGGATGGTATTCCTCATCAAACAAATTTGGAAACTTTTCTCTAATCCTGATTCCAAGATCATATAACTCTTCCTCTCCTTTGATAATTAGTTCACCACCCTTCCGCCTTCCCTGCCAAGGAGATTTCCATCCATTTAGCCAGGAGGGAACTCTCTCCAAAGGCAAATTTCGTTCCTTTGCATCCCTTACAAGAACTTCCAAACGAGCTGACAAAGTATCTAACTCCTTTATCCTTTTCTTTGTAGGAGATCGAGTTCCATGCCTTGCCTGGTTACATAAAGCAGTATTATCATAACATCCTCTTCCATCAGGTTGAGAAGTGTTGCCAGACAGTTCAAAACTATCAAATTTCAACCATAACAACCTAAACATGATACATTTATCGTGCAAACAGCATAGCAACATAAAAATAAAATACAACAATTGCTGTGATACTTGTGAAAGTTACAACAAGAACTGAAATGCACTGCAAAACATCCTTCTCAATGAATGAAAACTATTAACATCAAATTGTGGAGAAAATTACCACAAGGTTCAAATGGATCGGAATACATCCCTCGGGGATATTAGAAGGAACAAAGTTATTGTCAGCAATGTCTTTCACAACACCATATCTGCGGAGAATTTCGATAAGATCAATATAATAAAGAGAAGTAACAACATCAAGGGAACAACGAACCAAAAATATTCAAAAAAGACATGCATACAAAATTCTCATGCGAAAAGAATATCATAGAATGTGACAAGAGAACATGAATTCGTTGAATCAAGTATGAAACATAAATCGGGAACATTGAAGAATGCATAGTGGTAAAGAAAAGGAAAAGAAGCGATTTAATTAGTGATGGAGAAGTGAAATTGAAACCTTGAGACAGTGGAGAGGTGTTTGCGAACATCGAAAGGTTCTTCGGCGTTTGAGTAGTGTAATGCCCAAAGGAATATTAGAAGAAGGAAGGAAATAGAGTACTTCATTCTCTCAGCGGTTGCACTTCCAAATTGGAATCACCGAATGCAGCTTTATACAACTCACCCACTGTGGGGGAAGAAAATGTGACCATTGGATATATTATTTTTCTAATCCAAGGTACACATATTTTCTTTTCCCATTTTCCCGATCTGCCCCTCCACATGCAATCCCACCGTTAATAGAGATCCTATAAATCTACAATGCAGAAAAGGGAAAGACAAAGAATAAATAAATAAACAGAAAACATTATAAATAAAAAATGTTAACCGGTTTCTTACTCAACTGGAAACCGAAAGAGAAAAGGCTGTTATTTGTAAAATGAAAAATAATACAACCTCCGAACCTACGTGTCAAAATCATTCCGAATAATTTAAATTATAAAATATTAAATTAAATAATTATTTTTTAATAAATTTATTAAAAAATATTATTATTATTATTATTATTATAAACATAAAATATCAAATCTGATAGGATTTTTTGAAAGCTTATATATTTATTATAATTTTTTTAAAATACTTTTAATTAAAACCATTAAAAATGATATGCCAAAATGATTCAGTAAACCGAGTAGTTTATTTATGGTAAAACAAACAACTGCTGCATAAATTCTCAATACAATGTTTAACGCAAAAAGAAAATTGCACATAACTATTTACAAAAGAGGGACAATGACTCTTGAGTTGGTCATTGTTATAAAACAATGACATTAATGAATAAACAACCAAACCAAAACCCACAAAAAGTAATAATAACACAATTTCAAATGGGGAAAATGAAGATGTAAGTGGTAACTCGAAATGAAGATATCAGAGAAAAATGAATAAAATTGGAGAAAGTTGAATGAAATATATTTGAGGTTTATGCAAAAAGATAAAAAATATTGTTTATCTATAATATATATATATAATGTGTATATATATATAATAAAAGAAATTATCTTGTAGACATTTTTATAGATAATTTTGTTTTAAAATTTTTAGATAATAAAAATCAATATTAAAAATTAATCATTCTTATAAAGATAAAACTTAAACTCAAGACTTTTTATGTTTAAACACCAAATGCAATACTAATTGATTCATCAAATATTGATAATTTTTAAATATTTTTATTAAATAAAATATAGTCATGAAGTGTCTTGACTCTATTAGTTTAAATCTATGACATCTATAACATATAATAAAAGGAATTATTTCATTTAGTGTACACATTTTTTAGATAATTTTACCTTTAACTTTTTAAATAATATTAAAAATTAATCATTCTTACAAAGATAAATTTTAAACTCAAGATTTTTAGATTTAAAGATCAAATGGAATACCAGTTCATTTATCAAATATTTGATAATTTTAAATATTTTTATTAAATAAAATATAGAAATACAGTGTCTTTATCCCACTGATTTAAATAAAAATGTACCAATATTTGCAATTTTTATGATGTAAAAGGAGATGAGAAGTTGACAAATTTGTATTGAAATTTTGATTTATTCTATATAAATGTAAAGGATAGATTAGGAGATAAAGTGGTTTATTTAATGGTGAAAACATATTTAAATTAGAACCATATAAAATCTTTTTATGATATGAAAGAAGGTGGGTGGTTGACACTTTTGTATTGTTATTTCAATTTGTTCTATATAAATTTATAAATGATAGATTAAGAGAGAAAAAATGATTTATTCAAAGGTGAAAAGATATTAAAGAGGTGCCATATCAAAAATCTTTTATCTTTCACTAATTCTAACACAAGGTTAATTTAGTTCATGAAACTTCTTTTAATCTTTTAAGCATAATTTTACAAAGATAATCATTATAGACCTTAATTTAAATATATTGGTATCAATATGTCTCATTTGCTATCTTAATATCAATTATATATATTTTTTTGTTATTTTAACTTTTTTATTTGAAATGCTGCACTATTAAGTATTTTTTTTTCTTTGTCATCATATCAACTTTTTTATTGATATATTATATGGTATTTATGTATTGCATAATTAATATATATATATATATATATATATATATATTAGAATAGTCTTCAATAATATCATGTGTTGATTCAAATATTAGATTGTGCATTACACATGTCAATAATTTAGTTTGTGTACCGGTGGATACCCCTTCGGTCACGCAATAGGCCGAGCTTTACATGGATGACCACCTTTCTTATATATTTGGTAGTATAGGAGTTTGTATTGTCTGGTCTTGTATTATGGGCCTTAGTATACGACTTTTTGGGTTTTAAGCTTATTGGGCCTAGTTTTGGGCTTCATGGGCCTTTGGACTTTTGATTGCTTCTGAGCTTAGTGAGCCCAATGGATTTGGTGGGCCTCAGGTTCTCTTTACTTGGGATTTACATAGATGAACACCTTTCTCATATATTTGGTAGTATAGGAGTTTATATTATTTGGTCTTGTATTATGGGCCTCAGTATAAGACTTTTTGGGTTTTAAGCTTATTGGGCCTAGTTTTGGACTTCATGGGCCTTTGGACTTTTGATTGCTTCTGAGCTTAGTGAGCCCAATGGATTTGGTGGGCCTAAGGTTCTCTTTACTTGGGCTTTACATAGATGACCACCTTTCTCATATATTTGGTAGTATAGGAGTTTATATTGTTTGGTCTTGTATTATGGGCCTTAGTATAAGACTTTTTGGGTTTTAAGCTTATTGGGCCTAGTTTTGGGCTTCATGGGCCTTTGGACTTTTGATTGCTTTTGAGCTTAGTGAGCCCAATGGGTTTGGTGGGCCTAAGGTTCTCTTTACTTGGGCTTTACATAGATGACCACCTTTCTCATATATTTGGTAGTATAGGAGTTTATATTGTTTGGTCTTGTATTATGGGCCTTAGTATAAGACTTTTTGGGTTTTAAGCTTATTGGGCCTAGTTTTGGGCTTCATGGGCCTTTGGACTTTTGATTGCTTTTGAGCTTAGTGAGCCCAATGGGTTTGGTGGGCCTAAGGTTCTCTTTACTTGGGCTTTACATAGATGACCACCTTTCTCATATATTTGGTAGTATAGGAGTTTATATTGTTTGGTCTTGTATTATGGGCCTTAGTATAAGACTTTTTGGGTTTTAAGCTTATTGGGCCTAGTTTTGGGCTTCATGGGCCTTTGGACTTTTGATTGCTTTTGAGCTTAGTGAGCCCAATGGGTTTGATGGGCCTAAGGTTCTCTTTACTTGGGCTTTACATAGATGACCACCTTTCTCATATATTTGGTAGTATAGGAGTTTATATTGTTTGGTCTTGTATTATGGGCCTTAGTATAAGACTTTTTGGGTTTTAAGCTTATTGGGCCTAGTTTTGGGCTTCATGGGCCTTTGGACTTTTGATTGCTTTTGAGCTTAGTGAGCCCAATGGGTTTGATGGGCCTAAGGTTCTCTTTACTTGGGCTTTACATAGATGACCACCTTTCTCATATATTTGGTAGTATAGGAGTTTATATTGTTTGGTCTTGTATTATGGGCCTTAGTATAAGACTTTTTGGGTTTTAAGCTTATTGGGCCTAGTTTTGGGCTTCATGGGCCTTTGGACTTTTGATTGCTTTTGAGCTTAGTGAGCCCAATGGGTTTGATGGGCCTAAGGTTCTCTTTACTTGGGCTTTACATAGATGACCACCTTTCTCATATATTTGGTAGTATAGGAGTTTATATTGTTTGGTCTTGTATTATGGGCCTTAGTATAAGACTTTTTGGGTTTTAAGCTTATTGGGCCTAGTTTTGGGCTTCATGGGCCTTTGGACTTTTGATTGCTTTTGAGCTTAATGAGCCCAATGGGTTTGATGGGCCTAAGGTTCTCTTTACTTGGGCTTTACATAGATGACCACCTTTCTCATATATTTGGTAGTATAGGAGTTTATATTGTTTGGTCTTGTATTATGGGCCTTAGTATAAGACTTTTTGGGTTTTAAGCTTATTGGGCCTAGTTTTGGGCTTCATGGGCCTTTGGACTTTTGATTGCTTTTGAGCTTAGTGAGCCCAATGGGTTTGATGGGCCTAAGGTTCTCTTTACTTGGGCTTTACATAGATGACCACCTTTCTCATATATTTGGTAGTATAGGAGTTTATATTGTTTGGTCTTGTATTATGGGCCTTAGTATAAGACTTTTTGGGTTTTAAGCTTATTGGGCCTAGTTTTGGGCTTCATGGGCCTTTGGGCTTTTGATTGCTTTTGAGCTTAGTGAGCCCAATGGGTTTGGTGGGCCTAAGGTTCTCTTTACTTGGGCTTTACATGGATGACCACCTTTCTCATATATTTGGTAGTATAGGAGTTTATATTGTTTGGTCTTGTATTATGGGCCTTAGTATAAGACTTTTTGGGTTTTAAGCTTATTGGGCCTAGTTTTGGGCTTCATGGGCCTTTGGGCTTTTAATTGCTTTTGAGCTTAGTGAGCCCAATGGGTTTGATGGGCCTAAAGTTCTCTTTACTTGGATTTTACATAGATGACCACCTTTCTCATATATTTGGTAGTATAGGAGTTTATATTGTTTGGTCTTGTATTATGGGCCTTAGTATAAGACTTTTTGGGTTTTAAGCTTATTGGGCCTAGTTTTGGGCTTCATGGGCCTTTGGACTTTTGATTGCTTTTGAGCTTAGTGAGCCCAATGGGTTTGATGGGCCTAAGGTTCTCTTTACTTGGGCTTTACATAGATGACCACCTTTCTCATATATTTGGTAGTATAGGAGTTTATATTGTTTGGTCTTGTATTATGGGCCTTAGTATAAGACTTTTTGGGTTTTAAGCTTATTGGGCCTAGTTTTGGGCTTCATGGGCCTTTGGACTTTTGATTGCTTTTGAGCTTAGTGAGCCCAATGGGTTTGATGGGCCTAAGGTTCTCTTTACTTGGGCTTTACATAGATGACCACCTTTCTCATATATTTGGTAGTATAGGAGTTTATATTGTTTGGTCTTGTATTATGGGCCTTAGTATAAGACTTTTTGGGTTTTAAGCTTATTGGGCCTAGTTTTGGGCTTCATGGGCCTTTGGACTTTTGATTGCTTTTGAGCTTAGTGAGCCCAATGGGTTTGATGGGCCTAAGGTTCTCTTTACTTGGGCTTTACATAGATGACCACCTTTCTCATATATTTGGTAGTATAGGAGTTTATATTGTTTGGTCTTGTATTATGGGCCTTAGTATAAGACTTTTTGGGTTTTAAGCTTATTGGGCCTAATTTTGGGCTTCATGGGCCTTTGGACTTTTGATTGCTTTTGAGCTTAGTGAGCCCAATGGGTTTGGTGGGCCTAAGGTTCTCTTTACTTGGGCTTTACATAGATGACCACCTTTCTCATATATTTGGTAGTATAGGAATTTATATTGTTTGGTCTTGTATTATGGGCCTTAGTATAAGACTTTTTGGGTTTTAAGCTTATTGGGCCTAGTTTTGGGCTTCATGGGCCTTTGGGCTTTTGATTGCTTTTGAGCTTAGTGAGCCCAATGGGTTTGGTGGGCCTAAGGTTCTCTTTACTTGGGCTTTACATAGATGACCACCTTTCTCATATATTTGGTAGTATAGGAGTTTATATTGTTTGGTCTTGTATTATGGGCCTTAGTATAAGACTTTTTGGGTTTTAAGCTTATTGGGCCTAGTTTTGGGCTTCATGGGCCTTTGGACTTTTGATTGCTTTTGAGCTTAGTGAGCCCAATGGGTTTGGTGGGCCTAAGGTTCTCTTTACTTGGGCTTTACATAGATGACCACCTTTCTCATATATTTGGTAGTATAGGAGTTTATATTGTTTGGTCTTGTATTATGGGCCTTAGTATAAGACTTTTTGGGTTTTAAGCTTATTGGGCCTAGTTTTGGGCTTCATGGGCCTTTGGACTTTTGATTGCTTTTGAGCTTAGTGAGCCCAATGGGTTTGGTGGGCCTAAGGTTCTCTTTACTTGGGCTTTACATAGATGACCACCTTTCTCATATATTTGGTAGTATAGGAGTTTATATTGTTTGGTCTTGTATTATGGGCCTTAGTATAAGACTTTTTGGGTTTTAAGCTTATTGGGCCTAGTTTTGGGCTTCATGGGCCTTTGGACTTTTGATTGCTTCTGAGCTTAGTGAGCCCAATGGATTTGGTGGGCCTCAGGTTCTCTTTACTTGGGATTTACATAGATGAACACCTTTCTCATATATTTGGTAGTATTTGTACTCTGAGATGTAGCTTTTTCACCAATCAAATATTATTTTAATTGATGGAAATTGATCTTAAGAATATAGATTAACTCACATGTCTCTAAATATGCCTTACAACTACTGTGCCATTAAATATTAATTTTAAGTAATCAATTAACAAATAATATGATGTAAATTTATGCAACACTAATTTGAAGAATTTCAATGTAATTATTTTATTTGTGCTGGTTTAAAGTTAAACTACTTATATTATTGTAATAAATAGGTTCTTATAAACAACCACAAACAACAAGATTTATTAAAAAAAGTATAAATATTATATCATGACCAGATTATTTTTGTCAAATAATATATTTTCCATTTTAATATATTGCTTCGAATGGGAACCACTCCCATGATTAGAATAAAAATAATATAACTAAAAAGTTAGACACACGTGATTAATGTGCTAAACTAAAAGTTGAATTCTTAAACAATGCTCAAAATTTAATCTTTATTAGAAATAATCTTTGATCAATCTTTAGTCACCTCCTCCCTGACCAAACAGATTAATTTAAAGCAACAAAACCTTAAAACAAAATGTGGGGAAAAAAATAACATAAATCTATCACACAGAAAAAGTAAAATAAGAACAACATAGTTCTCTAGTCATTATCAATTAAAAAAATAAAAAAATAACCCGAAAGCTGATATTTGCACTGCTTTTTTTTTTCCCACTCTGTAAAATTTTAATAATACAAGATAGGCAGTGTAAGAAGTAGAGCTATCCTGGCCCAGTGCAGCCCACCACGGGTTGACCATTTGGTAGGCCAACCCAACCCAACCCGGCTCATTTATTAGTAAGTTCAAAAAATTGAACTCAGTTCGACCCGCCTCAAACAGGTTGGGTACCAAATTTAAAAAAAAGGGATTCGCGCATGGTGGCTTACGTTGCTTGCAGAATATACCTATCTGATTTGCGCGCGGCCCGCGGTGCACGCGGTGGCTCACGGTGCAGTGCGATGGCTTATGGTGTAGTGTGCTGGCAGCTATGGTGGCTGGTGCGGTACGGTGGCCATGTGAGAGAGTCTGAGAGTATGAGAGTGAGTGAGTTTGAACTTTGAAGTAGGGGTGGGTATACGGACCAGTCCGTAAAACACGCGTTTTATACAGGCCGGATAAGTCCGGTCCGTAAAATAAATGACTTATTTTTTAAGTCCGTATCTGACCCGCCAAAATCCGCGGATAACAAACCGGTCCGCGGGCCTAAATAGTGGTTCAAAAAAAATAAATTTAAAAAAAAATAAAAATACATAAAATTAGAAGAAAAAAATATATTTTTTATTTATAAGCTAAATTTTATCATACTAAAATTTATCAATAGTTAAAATGATTTAAAATACTAAATATTAAAATATTAAAATAAAAATAATTACAAATACTTAAATAATAGTACCAAACTTTCAATAATAAAAGTATCAAAATGTCATAAAAGTAATTCAATTGACAAATACATACTAACTAAACATAATTTTAATGTCATCATAATTTAAAAATTTAAATACACAACTTAATATTAAAATCATAATATTTAAAAATATTAATATATTAAAATATTAAAATAAAAATAATTACAAATACTTAAATAATAGTACCAAACTTTCAATAATAAAAGTATCAAAATGTCATAAAAGTAATTCAATTGACAAATACATACTAACTAAAGATAATTTTAATGTCATCATAATTTAAAAATTTAAATACACAACTTAATATTAAAATCATAATATTTAAAAATATTAATTAGTGAAATCCGCGGACTAGCCGCGAGCTTGCGGATTAAATCTGCCAAGTCTGCAGACTTCACGGGCCGGGCTAAAAAATTAGACATAGTCATACAAATTTGAGAAAATGGACCCATTATTTGCGAAATTCGCGGACTTACATACCGATCCGCGGACCCGGGTCCGTCTACCCACCCCTAGTTTGAAGTGATTTGTGAAATTTAAATTAAAACCCTAATGGGCTGCATTGATCCAATAACTTCTTTTTTTTTAATTACGGGTTAGTGAATTAGCCCGGTTCATCATGGGTTCAACCTGGGTGAACCAGATTCAAAATTGGTCCCTAAATTTTTTAATTTTTTTTTTACCAACCTGGTTCGAACCCGTGGTTGATCGGATTGGCTAACCGGACTGCACTCATTTTGACAGCTATAGTAGGGGTGAGCATTAAACCAACACCCGAACCGAACCCGAAAAACCCGAAAAAAAATATTGCTTTTGGGTGGGTTCGGGCGGGTCTTATGGGTAAATCGGGTTAAAATTTTGATTTTATACGGGTTATATTGGGCGAGTTCAGTTTTGAATTTTTAAATCCGCTAAAAATCGAACCCAACCGAAAATGAGATAAGTTTAAATTTTTATTACTTTTGTATAACTAAACAACAATGGTCCAAATTTAAAAGTCTTTATTTCAAGTATAATATAGCCATCAATTTGTAACTTATTTTTTTCCTTTTTCTCATAACTTAGATATTTATTTTGTCTTCTCCTTCCTCATTCAACTTCTCAACACACTAGTCCATTTTTAGAGTTATCTTTTTGCTTCTTTCTTTGTCTTTCTTTTCCATCTTCTTATCTCCATTTTGAGTACATTTTGTGTGACTGTGATTTCTTATGGTTTTGTAATCTAACTTTATATTTCTTTTCCATGTAACAACTATGAATTTTGTTATCTTTTATTTTTGCTTCTTTAGTTTGTAAATGTTTCAACTACGAATCTATTTACACCATCTATTGTCACCTTCATTCTATTTTTATACACTATTTTAAAAATATTTTTTTATCGTTTTAAGCTTCATCTTCGTTAAGATAAATTGGTTTACAAAAAAATTCAAACCCGATTATACCCACCCGCTTAAATCCGAATCCGTTTCAACCCGAACCGCCTCAAATCGAAAGCTCAGTCGGTCGGATATGGGTCACATTTTTTCAAAGTCGGTTTACAACGGGTTGGACATTTTTCACCCGAACCCGACCAAACCCACCCGTTGCTCACCCCTAAGCTATAGTAAGAAGCACCAAGAACGCTGCAAATACCAGCCCCTAAAAGCCCCCAACACAATTCAAGTGTACAAAAGGGCGGTATCATTTGTGGCCCAAATTAATTAAGCCATGATATAAAAGTTTGGACCACGATGGCACAGAAAGAGACAGTCAAAATACTTTTTCTCCCTTAAAATTCAGCTGCTTCTGTACCATATTTAAAAACACACATCGTATACGACAAAGATTAATTTTATAATAAGAATAGCAAAAACAATTTATAAAAAAATGTTTATTGAGATTATTAGTATTTGCATACTACATTAGATACTTGACTAAGATCGTATTAAATAAGATTACTATAGGCATTATACCTTTCCTTTTGAGGTTTAGATTTGCTATTTTGAAAAGCGAACATGTTTTAAACAAATCAATTAAAAAGTAGAAACTTATGATTTAACCAAGCATAAGACTAGAGGAAGAGGAAGTGTCAAAGGAAAGTACCTACGAGAAAAGGAAAAAAAAAAACTAAAAACGATTGTTCAGTAAATAAGACATACTTAACAGTTACAATTCACATTTAGATTTTTTTAATAAGATTTTTTGATTTTTTTTATAACAAAATATTTGTCAAATATCAATGTAATCTATTCTATATTCAGCCTTAGCCTTAGATTCGAAGGCTAATCAACTTAACTAATAGGCACAAACAACTAAAAAAAAAGATCTTATGATACATGATATTGAAATTAACTTCTTAAGTTATGCAAATAATCAAGGAATAAAATTATAATTCTAATTTGAATTTCATTTCCATATTACTCCACGCTACTCCGACATTACTAAAAAAACGAGATAATAAGTGACCAATATTATTACTCCACACCCAATTTTGTCATCTCTAACAAAAGGCCTGAAAATACTAATTCACATTTTGCACTAACGAGAGGAAAAAAAAGGTCAATCAAGCAGCAACTCCCTCCTCATGAAGCAACATTTGATCAAAGTGCCACACACCTGAAAGTCATCAAAGAAAACAGTATTTAGATTCCCTTATTTTTTTGGTAATAGAATTTTTTCTTTGAAAGAACTTGGGAAAGATACACTCAACAAAGTTATCTGAATTAGAATTTCTTACCATGTCCTTTGCCAACTCTTCTTAGCTGAGCAACGTACTCAGAGATTTTTTTTATGGCTTCCACCTATAACCAAATAAAAAATAAGTGCTGGGTTTAAATCGACAAAAACTTAATAGAACTTGGAAGTGTTTTGCCAATAATTACTAGTAAATCTTTTGTCAGTAACCTTTAAGAAATAGTTTCATTAAATTACAATGCCTTATTACCTGTTCACCCAAAAACTCGCTTTCAATAAAATCTGCCAATTGCACATCATTGTTTTTTGAGGCAACCTGTCAAACGAAATGCAACATGTTCTAAGAAATGAATTTGCATTTACCAACATCAAAGTAAACATAAATGACACAAATGAAATAAATCAAAACTAGGACCAGACAAAATTATCTTACACTGTGCACGTTAAGCAGCTTCTCATTTGTTAGCTTCTCCAACGACAGAGCAAGTTCCATTGCTGCATCAAGAAACAAACACACAATTCACAGGGGAAGTTCATCGGCCAAAGCAAAAAAACTTTGATCAAATTAGCTTGCATCGTGTGTTACATAGTTCTCTAATTTGGTAAGAATTAAGAAATAATGTACTTTTTAGCAGAATTAAATCAACATGCACATATAAACAATATAAACGTAATCTACAGTCAGAATTCATTTTACATTTACAGAATATTTCAAGTGGGTGATCGAGCTCAGTATTAGGGAGTATCCAAAGAAATGTGCTACTCAAAAAAAAAAATGCATTTGGAAATCATACGATTGAGGATTGTCGTGAATTTTATTCTTTTCGGCTTTTGCTATGTATTGTTAAAAAAATAAACTATCCATATAGTGTAAAACAGTTTCACAGCGTTACCCAATCACAAACTAGCATGTAGGTTGCTATTAAACTCTTTTATTATGCATGATCTTGAAATGTTTTCAAATTCTAAATGTTTTAAGGCTCGACAAACTAAAACACACATCTCATTAAAACAGATGCACAACAAAGCAGTGAATAGAAGAGTTTCATCCTAAATTACAAAACGCATGACAAATATAAAGAGATTCCACGACACACTAACCATATAGCGCATCTCCCTTTTCCTCATGATCAAACTCAGAAAGTGGCATCACTATTGATTGCAACTTCACTTTCCCACCCCTTTTGTTCTGAAAATTACATTAAAACACACACAAAAAAAAAAAAAAATCTCAGTATCACTTATCTGAATACAGCATTGAAACTTGGCATATTTAATTGACACAAGACAAGATATTTTGTGCGATTGAAAGGTGTAATTAATAGTAGTACCTGATATTCCATCAGTTTCTCTGCATGCTCCCTTTCCTCCTCGCTTGACTCCTTGAAGAACCTGTGATCATGACAATCATTAGTTTACTACTCCTCAAAAGGAAAATCAAAACACTAGACAACAGAACAGAACATATAAATAAATAGGCTTGAATTTACTTTTTAACCCAATAGTTTTGTGAATATGCAATGGAAAATTTAAGAATATTAATCCATCATTAATATTAATCCATCATTAATATTAATCCATCGTTAATATATCATTCAAAATTTAAAAAAATATATATATATTAGTGTGTCTAAATAACTACTGAGAAAACTTTACAGAGACTAAAAGTGGAAAATAATTTTTTTTAAAAAATTACTTGGCGAGACCCTTGAGTGCAACATTGTCCCTGTCGAAGTAGGCAAACATGGCATGATAAACGTAGGAAACATTGTACTCCACACTGCGAAACAGGAAAAAAAGAAATTAAAGGGAAAAAAAAGAAGAGAGAAGCGGTTAAGGGGAAAGGAGGAATTGAACTGACTTGATCTGTTCGTTAATAGTGGCCTCACAGTCGTGTGAGTACTTTTGGCGTGCGAGGGAAGCTTGCGGGAGAGTGGGAACGAGGTCGAGCTCCTTCTTGACCTCTTCAAAGGGTTCGAAAACGACGCCGGTTAAGGGGCGGTTGTTGGAGCCCTTGGTGGCGCAGGGGAGGAAGGTTTTGGGGTGAGAGTGGCGAGTGGTACAAGAAGAAGAAGGGTTGAGGGGAGAGAAAGAGGGAGGAGCGGTTCTGAGAAGCATGGTTGCACGAGGAATGAATGAGTGAATGGGTGAGTTGAGAGAGTTTTGGAAAGTGTGTGGTAACGATTTGAGGTTGGAATGGGCGCGTGGCGTGCTCGTCGATTCCTCCAACTATCTAGATTCTAGACTCTTCCCTCCTTCTTTCATCGTTTTCAATTTTTCATCACTTAGCTTTCTCTCTCTCTCTTTTTTTCTTTTCAATCAACTCTCACATCTTTATTTATTTTATCATTCTGGATTTTTAGTGGTACAAGTTGCTTTAATTAGAATGATCATAAATTTGGTTTTTAAAATTAAAAATTATTAAATTTGTCTGGTGCAAATTTACAATTATATTAATTTTAAACAAAAATATTTATAACTCAAAAAATAATATTAATATATTTTCAAGGACAAAATGATAATAAATAATTAAATTTAAGACTTATTTGATATTCTGAATATTTATTTGAGAGTTTCTTGGGATATCTCTAATGGAAATAACTCATTTGAGTTTCTTCATATATTAAAAAATGAAAAAAGTGGTTCTTAGTGTGTCATGTTACTAATAAGCAATTCAAACACAAATTTACTCTAATAGTAAGAAATTTTAAGAAATTCAACTTTTAAATTTTTTTTCTAATTATTTATGAATCAATTTTAAATTTTTATTAAAAAAGATAATTGCACTACAATGAAAGAAAATAAACTACGAGAAAAAATACACAATAAATAGATATTAAAAATAAAATAAAGTAATAGTAAATACATAGACATTATACAAAATTAATTTTCATCATTATTATTTCTAAAACGTTTTTAAATATGTTCAATAAGATCTACTTGAAATCTGGTAAGTAACGGTTGCTTGAAGAAACAACTCTCTCTTCTTTAAGCAACTCGTGTTGCCACGTCAGAGTCCTCTAATGATAAGAAATCGGGGCTTGAATTGTTTCATGGGACAAGCAACTCGCATTGGAGTTGCACTTAGTTTTATTGAAAAATGTGAGAAATTAGAGAAGATGTTTACTCTTTTAATTAATATTTATTAAACATGAATGATAAATAATATTTCTATTAAACATATAGTTAAAGATTTTTTCCTTTATTAGTGTGTATATAAAATATTTATTTGAATAAATTAATTTATTAAATAAAACTCACGGCATATTAATGGGTATGTAACTTTAGCGGATAGGAATCTAGTCAATTTGCATGGAAGTTCACAGGAACAATCGGGACCAGCAAGATTTGGGGAATTAGTGAGAAATCCTGACAAATATTAGATAAACACGTAATAATTATTGTAAATATATTAAATAAAAGTATGTGAATTATAGTAAATATCATATTATTGAATTTGATTTTGATAGATAAAAAATAAATTAAAATTACAAATTTTATAAAATTGAAATGTTCACATAATTAAATTTTGGAAAATCAAAATTGTAATCTATAGATCCAAAAAATACAATTTAACACTTTAAATAATTCTAAAATTTTACTTGCGATTTAACTTTAAAAAAAAAAAACAATGAATTTTTCTAACAAGAATTTAAGGTCAAACAACAAAAGAAAGGTCATGATCCCTTGCCTGTTGGTTGCGAATGTGCTGAGTGCTGAGATCTATCAACGCAGAGAATGGATGTAAAACTAAAAAGATGGACATCGGCCCATCAAATGTGTTATACTTCCGTGGCGAATCAAGATTCACGAGCCACGCATTTTTGTAGACCTGAATATGGGCTCATTGAGCCCAATACAACACTTGGCCAAGCTTAATTGCATAAAATTATGCAAAAGAAAATGACATGACCCAGTTCTCAGAAAAATATATGTATTCATGCTCAATTGCATATAATTATCATAATATTTCGTTAAATTACATCAATAGTTGTTATAATAATTTTTAAATTTTTATTTTTAAAAGCTTCCTTCTTGACAAATCAGTCTGAACAATTTTAAATCAATTTTGAATCAGAAACAAAAGATATATTGAATACTATTTTTTATATATATAGAAAACAACAAAAGTTATTTGAAAGTAGTAACTATATGCTTTTAGTAATTTTTAGTTTTCTTATAACCAGTATTTTAAGCAAGAAATTAATAGGTTTAAATAGTAAGCAATGTAAAATAAACTAAATTTATATACGTAAGATAAATATTTATTTCATATAATTAAAACTTATAATGAATAAATATTTCTGAATATATAAAATATATTATAATTAAAATTTATAATAACTAAATATTTTTTTAACATATAAATTATATATCATGTATTTATTGTAAACAAGTTAGATTGTGATACAAAATTGTTTTAAATTTTTGATCATTTTTTTAAAATATTGAAATTCAATTTAAAAATAAAGATGAAAAGAATAAAATAAAAGTGACAATATGTTAAGAAAAATCTTTAAAATTTTTATTATTGAAGAAAAATCCCTATAAATATTCATGTTGACTAATAATTCTTAAAAAAAACTCTTATTAAAAATAAATTATAATTTATATTGGTAAAAAAATTTCAACACAAAAAACACTGATCTATTCGTACGTGTGAGCAAGAGATTGCTCTCTTTGCAGGAGAGTCATTCAACTGTATTTTTAATGTTATTCATTTTTTTTATTACAATTTTTAATATAAACAATAAAGTTTATCCTAAAAAAAGCTAGTCATTGATGGTTAAAAATTAATAGTGTTATTATATAAATTTAGTAAATAATATTAAAGTTTCAGTCAGACCATTCTATGTGTGGAGGGACTCTCTATAGAAGTGTAAATAAGTTAGATTAAATTAAAATTTACCCGAGATAAATGATATTTATTTTTTAAGTATAAAATTTGAACTTGACTTATTTATTAAAGAAAATATGAAGTTTAGAATTTAAAAGCCAACAATAGACTATTATATATACTAGTATTGGTTAATAGTTATCTTATAGGAGTATTATTTTATAAATAATAATTTTCAAAACATTTGTTAATAAGATCTATAGATTAGTTAGAAACCATTAGACCATGCATATCATTGAAAGAAAACAACATGCATTTCGAAAATGAATCTTCATAACCACGATGCTCATTTAATGTCCGCGTTGGAGGTCTCATGTTTTTTCTCTTCTAACGTGGTGAGATGTCTGTTTCTTATCCCATTTTTTATTGTCTTCAAGATTTGTAATTTCAGAGTAACCAAACGACAACTTTCTGTCTCACCTTCCATCTATGCTCTCAGTCGACTCACCTTACGAGGGGTTGAACTTCTAAACCCATTCAGTCTGATTCAACACTCACATCATTTAAAAAAAAAAAAAAACAATACATTTTACATTATTTGTCATTTTAATATATTTTTTTATTGAAATTGAAATTTTAATAACTCGTGCATTAAAAATTGACATCAAAGATCTACATAGATAGTTTTAATTTCTATTTTAAAAAAATAGTTCCACACATACTAAAAGAACAACACTTGAATTCTGTTTAACTAAAGGAGAGCTAGTATTTATTTTGAAATGCATGAAAACATAAACTTTGAATCATGTGAGGCAATTAATGCAAGGAGAGCTTAGGTTTTGTATCACACTCTACAACTCGTACAAGTTTCAATAGTAATCTCCATCGAAATTAGCTTCATTTATAATAATCCCTACAACTTAATTGCATGTCAGGAATCTCATTAATATCTTGGTGGAGGTACCCATGTTTTCTTTGTTTAATTTACCAGCAGCAACTATAATTTATTTTGTACATATATTCACTTTGTATTAAATAATTAAGTGGAAAGTCAGATAATTGAATTATAGTTTTAAGGATATTTTTTAAGAAATTCTATAAATTATTGACCAATTTAATATCAATAACTAAATTCACCAAAAATGTATCAATTTGATTTTATCCCTCTATTTCAATTTGATTGACCTTAATTAATTTTAACAATTAAAATTGACTTAATAAAAAAGATAGAAGTAATTTGCACGCACAGAGTGTCATTATATAATACTTTTTTTCCTATTTTACTTGATGTTTTAATATATATATATATATATATATATATATATATATATAATAT